GCAAACAAGGAGCGAACACAACTACCTGAAGGAAAAGCACAGACCCTCCAACTACCATGTGAAATATTCGAATCATATGCCATCGATTTTGCGGGACCATTCAATAAATCCGCTGGATATGACACCATCTTGGTAGCTGTGGACCGATTCTCTGGATACACCTAGTTAATACCAATAAAGGTTACCGACTCCTCTAAAGACACCTGGAATAACCTGCAACGATACTTGTTTACCCCCCATGGGTACCCCTTATCTATTGTCAGTGATGCTGATCCCCGCTTTACCGCCAGAATCTGGAAGCAAACCTTGACCTCCCTTGGAATAAACCACATTATGGCTGCCCCAGGACACCATGAGACTAATGGCCAAGCAGAACGGAAAATCCGCGAAGTTAAGACCGGAATTAGGAATATGATCAATGAATGACAAACCAACTGGGAACCAGCCCTTGTTGAGCTCGCTGCATATATCAACGCCGGATTTTCAGATACCTTGGGGATGTCACCATACAAGGCAATCTTTGGCCGTCAATACCCCCTCCTACCTACAACACTATTTAAGAACTCCTCAGTCCCTGCCTCTGATGACCATCTAAACCGCCACCAAGCAATTCGGAACGATGCTTTCCAAGCTGTTAAGGCTGCCCGATTCCGAAGCACCACTACTGCCCAGAAACGATGACGCAAACATGTCCCCATCTCACCAGGAGACATGCTCATGGTACATGGTAACATGTTCATTACCAATGTCGGACGCAGCAAGAAACTGCAACCCCGATGGCGCGGACCCTTTAAAGTCATATCCTTTGACGAGTATACAGAGAACTACACTGTCCAGATGGATGGACGCATGTACCGCCGCAATACTGCAGTCTTTCACGCCTCAGCTGTCAAGCGATTCCATCCAAATGATGACTCCAAGTTTCCTGGAAGAACCCACTCCCAGCCTGTACCTATCATCATCGACAAGAAGGATGAATGGGAAGTTGAAGAAATAAGAGACCACTGCCTTTGGCATGGAAATGATCAGTTCCTAGTCAAATGGAAAGGATATCCGACGAGCGAAAACAGTTGGGAACCACTGGAAGGACTAGAGCACGCTATGGATATGGTGAACGGATGGTGAAAAGACAACATGCCAAACGAATCCCTCCCCCCAACAATCAATTATATCACCATGTGTTGGACACCTACAATGCCAGAAACTGAGCGATGGCACGCAGAACTCAAAGCTAGAGATGGATTTTGGGCACCACACTTTGAGTCAGAGTTCGAAAGCAGCGATGAGGAGAATCAAGCTATGGAGCAGGCTCTCGACAACTTTATCTAGTCGCCAATCACCATCCGAATACCATAACGATGTCAAACTATGTGGAGCTCAATGTGAGGCTGCGACAACAGATTGTTGGACTGTTGTTGAACCGCGATGCTATCCAACTTAAAGATTATTTCGAAATCCTCTGGATAGATTACTGTCCTGATTGCGATCACGCTTGGGTTGATGTACAACGCGAATCTGGTATTCGTGACTACTGTGATTTAGACTTCTTCGAGTCTAAGTGTTTCCTTAGAGTTTCCTCTTGCCCCTGGTGCGACACTTACGATGAAGAGTTTTTAGCGGAAACTGAAGCCTTTAGTTTCTCAGACTCCACTTTTGATGATTATTAGGTTTTGTTTGTTTAAACAGTTGTTTTGTTTTGTGGAATGTAACCGGTACGGGTACTTGGTTATTGGTTTTGTTTTATGTTTTGTTTTAAGTATCGCTTTAATACTTGGTTTTGTTTTATGTTTTGTTTTAAGTATCGCTTTGATACTTGGTTTTTTTTAAGTATCGCTTTGATACTTGGTTTGTTTTAAGTATCGCGTTGATACTTGGTTTGTTTTATGTTTTGTTTTAAGTATCGCTTTGATACTTAAGGAGTTTTACCAAAGAGTATCAATTGATACCTTTGATTAGTTTCGTTCATGCTAGACATGAACAGATTTGTGTATTTAAAGACCGCCTGTTTCTACGATAGAAGAGGCAGACTTCGACAGACAGTATTTCAATATACTTGGTTGAACGGTTACTTCTTTGTTCCTCAGTACACCCTCGAAGCCTCCTTTAGTTCTCAGCTCTCGCCTCCTCTCTGGAAGAGCAGGCCACCTGCCAACTATCGTACCTCTTATCGTTAACGTGATTAGCACCTTGCGAACACGTTACAAAGGAAGGAAACAAAAGAAGAGAAGTATCGTTTCCCGTCGCCAAGAACTAACTATCCAAGAAGGGATCATTACAATCACAGAGGCATTCTTGACAAAGACGCGTGAGTACAGTCATTTGATCTCCTATCGCTTGTCTAAACTAACCTTTACTTTGCATAGTCTGAAATGCTAGGTAGAAGAAGAAAGAAAAAAAAGAATTGGATAGAGATAGTAAGTAGAGTAACAAGAGCCTCAAGCTCCAAGTTGAAGAGAAAGACATACTTTATAATCAGAGTACTACAATTCAAATAATGCTACGCAGAGCACCTACAAAGTATAAAAAAGCAAGCTAATACACCTGTTATGGTGATAGTATACTCGCGCAGCCGAGTTGAAGCTGAGCATTTTATTTCGGAGGTGATTGACAAATGAATACTACACCTATTCCAGACCTGCTTAATAGGTCATATATCCACTACAGATAGAGTTTCAACCATGATAAGAAACATGCATATTTACAACCTCACTGTTGCCTTATTAGAGCTGGCACAGTTGACAAGGAGGTCTATTCTCTACCTATCTATTGAAATTATTATTACAGTTGTGAAGAATAACTCTCTGGAGTTTTTCGTGAAATGCATGATACTTGTTATCAATAACCTCCTGCGGCAACTCTTCCCAAGTACTAATTAAGATCTCTTTTGACCCATTTACAGCATGTCAGCTCACTCCAATGAAGTTCCATGTAGAAATCTCATCTTTTTAGTAGCTCCAGATCAATTCAATCTGATTCAAATTGGGGGACCTTGAGGGCTAACTAAGAGTTACAATGCCATGCAACTTTCTCTCTTTCTCATCAACTCTTTGTACCGTTTGATGGCTAGAGGCATTATCTTCAACAAGATAAAGGTGTGGAACTCCTAGCTGCTTCCTCACAGATGCCATCTGGGAGTATAGCTTTGGGCATAATACTCTCTCTTGGTAAGAGACCCAATTTATTCCACCTTTGCTCATGAAATCTAAAAGAGGTTCGTGGAACATCTGCTCTGGGCATCTCTGTTTTCTCTTATGCCGTCTAGCTCTACCGTTAGCTAGGTTAAGTTCGTCAAGGTTATTATTGAAAGAGCTGAGCGTTTCGTGCTACCAGGTACCTGGAATCTGGGCTTGTTGTTGATTTACTTCTTGTTATTCGAGTCGTATTTGATTGTCTTCATTAACCATTTATTGGTAGCTTTCCTTTTCTTCTGCTATATCTGATACCCAAATGTGGTATGGACCTTTCATACCCAGGATAATGGCACCCCAGAATATAACATGAATTGGCTGCTTTTCATTATCTTTATCATGAATAGCATATTCATTTGCATCAACTCCTTGATATTGCAAAACATTTCGCTGCCGTCGGGGTTTGTTGAACTCCACCCACATTTCATCAGTAAAAACAATCGTATTCACCGCAATCTGTGGGGCCATATGAGCAAAGGCCAAACGGGCTTCCATGTGACCTGCTGTGAGACTTGGCTTGTGAGCAGGCTTTCGGCGGAAGATATTGTGCTGGGTATGAAAGATTTGCTCCAGGGTAGAACAGGCAGCAGGTGTTCCTAGCTCATGGGCAATCTCCGAAAATGTCCACTGCCAATGCTCTTCATCTTTCTAGCTTAGATCTTGAAGAGCGATCGATTCCAATGAACCTGCAGGATATTTCTCGGGGTTTCCACCACCATGACAGCTTGACAAACAGCCCAATACATCATCAAAGTCCTCTGGATCAGCTGCCCGAGCCTTGTCTATTGTTAGTTAATCTTTTCCATATCTTTGTATTTTACACACTGGCACTGTTTTTATATCTTTGCTTTTCTTAAAATGTGCTCAACTGTTGACTTTTTGAGTCCGAGTTTGGTGGTGACTTTGCGTGAAGACATGTTTGCATGCCAGTTTAGTGTAAGTATTGCAGCCCTTTTGGGAAGAGGAACTATTGGAGCACTTCCAACTCCTCCAAAGTGTATGGCTGGCATAATAAAGAGAATAGGTTTAAAGACTCGGATGTTTGAAGGACTGCTGCAATCACTCAAAGTACCCAACAGTATTATTGGTACTTATGCAGTGCAGAGCCTGCTACTTTACACGGTATATCAGAATTACGTCACAGATCTTGGCACTCTGCTACCCTCTTCCTATTCATTCGTCGATCACTTCCAAAATAAGGTGCCCGGCTTCAACTCGGCCGCGCGAGTTTACAGGTAACGTTCAAAGCAGTACACTTGTATTTGTGCGGTATGTTGTGTTCTCAGTTTGCGGCGTACCGAGAGCTTTAAATCTCCTTAGTAAGATACAAGGGAGGGCACGAGAACTTTACAAATGCGACTCTACAAGTACTCGAGTACTGGGGACAGGTACTATCGTAATGGTTCGTTGTAATTATACGAGTAATACCGCCTCTTCGATCGGCCAAGACCGGGACCCTACTGTACTGGCCGATTTCAAAAGTATCCGGACACCTTGGCGCGAATTTGTATGAGGCTTGGCGCCAAAGTGTCCAGATACTTTTGAAATCGATTAGTACCGTACTCGGGTACTCGAGTGTATGGTGCCTTCAAAACAGTTCTGGGGTTCGTGACCTGGCGGCCTAAGAATCTAATTAGATTAGATTAGATTAGATCAGGTACGCTTTGGTTAATGCACTTTCCTGATCCAGACAGGGCTGCTCCCTCATCGGGAAGAAGATCTTATCGATAATCAGGCTTGGCACTGATCCCTTGCTTGGACTGTCCTGCACATCCCTCCCTTCCTCCCCTCTCCCCCACCTCAACCCATGCACGTCCCTCCATTGAGTTTAAACTTGCCACCCAATCGAACCCTTCTCCCACGCATTTACCGTGAACAATCATGGGGAACGGTCGAGGACGCGGAAGGGGCGGAAGGGGCGGAAGAAGCAGTTATCCCACCAGAGGCCATCGGGGTCGGTCTCGGGGCGGTGGATATCAAGGTGGCGGATCTTCTGTGCTGGATAGCGGATATCAGGGTTTCGCAAGCAATAGCTATTATGGCTATGCCAACCAACCCTCTCATATACCAGCAGTTGTGAGCGACGGTGGTTCTTTCGGGAATATCAGTCATGGCTTTCATGGTCTTCGTAGTTCCCAAGGTATTGGCATATTGTCGCAATAGTTAACCTGTCAATGTGGCTTACGCGTTTTTAGATGCGCCATATACACTTGTGGATGAAGCACAGAATACGGGACACCACCTCAGGGATTGGGGGAGCACTTCCGCGCTTCGCCACTCGGCTGTCAAGTTTGTTCCGTCCTCTACAGGCAATTTAGTCCTGACGGACCTGTTCAAACCATTGAATCTCGCTGTCAGCCCGGAAAAGCAGGAGGAAAACACTTCTGATGGCGGTGTAGAAAAAAATACCTCTCCAGATCTCGACCCATCCGTCACATCCGCGAATATGGATAAGCTTCAAGAAGATTTATCTCAAATTGTTAAAATGTCTAGATTGAAGCTCAGCAACACGAGGACCCACACCCGTGCCGAACAAGATTTGGTTACTGGAACGGCCTCGGTAACTCCTGGATTTGTGATTGATCTTACCGGGGACCCTAGCCTATCACCTAAGCAAGAAGTTCCTGGCCGTGTAGATTCACCTACTCTATCTACTTCTTCTAGTGAAGAGATTGTTTTTGTTCCGCGAAGAAATCGTGGTGATACTGCTGCGAAGGCATCCGCTAGAGTGACCTCTGGACCTCCAGGAGGACAACAACCGAAGGAGCAGGTGGCTCATATTAAGGCCTCAGAGACCGTCGCGCAACTGACGCCAATAGACAGGCCAGATATCCGGACGGACCCGACAACTAGGTTTCAGTTTGGGGTGAAAGCAAGCGTTGCTGTTGCGGATTCCGTTCACAAACCTCCCCTGTGTCTTGCAGAGGTGTCGAGTGACACGGAAGGTCCTGTGGAAGTATTGTGTGTGGTTGGGAATGAAAGGGCTGAGAGGTCAATATCCGGTAAGAGAAAAGGGAAAGGCGCGGGTCGAAAAAGGAAGGACAATGACGAAGACGATGAAGCCCTCAGAGACTATCAGGAAAATGTTTTGGCGCAAATGCTTGCTGAGAGGGCAGAGGAAGCGGGCGAGAGTTCTAATACGATTCGTACTGGAAATCTTGCTGATGAGAATGATTGGCTCGACGCAACGGATTTGGATGAGAAGGCGGAGGGTGAGGCTGTCATTGACGAGTACAAGAGAGAGCTATGGGAACCAGAATATCTTCAGGACCTGGACCTTCTTGACACGGCGAGCGAAGGGCCTCACGGTATTGTCAAAGCAGTCCTCGGGAAGAGACAACGCCCCAGTGGTTTACAATACATGGTTATATGGCAGAACGATGAAACAGAAACCCCAAAGTGGGTATTGGCGGAAAAATTAGATTCGAGTTCAGATCACAAGATTAAAGAATTTCTCGTTCTTGAAGAGAAGAATCTTGTAGAAGAATTTTCATCCTCTGATGACAGTGACGACGAGGAGGATGATGAAGACCTTAAGCTTGCTAGATTGCTTCAGAGAAAAGAGGAGTTAGGCATTGTAGATGGTTCTGATCTTGATAGTCTCGATGCTGAAATCATGGAGCTCGATGCCGACTTCTTTCCTTTGGGTAAAACAGGGAAGAAAAAGACAAAGAGGCGCAGAAGGGGTAATGATATCGACCCAGAAGACTTTGTGCCCGACCCTAGCACTGGCCATTTCCCCTCCGCCTCATGGATGGCAGACTCTTATGAGGGTTTCGACGTCATGGAATGGGACAGGCCCAGTTTAGCAAAACGCAAGGGCAAAGGAAAGCAGCACTCGCTTAACCCGTTTGATTCCGAGCAAGAGGAGGCGCTGCGGGCAACTTGGGTAAAAGACCGTGAGAGGAAGAAGGTGCGCAAGCAGGAACGAGAGGCACGCAGGGCAGAGGGAATGCTTGGCAAAAAGGCACAGAAGGCCGGCAAACGTGACTCAAATGCTAAATTTCCAGAAGGGATCACGATGGAGGAGTTGAAGTGCAAAATTCAGACCTTCTTGGAGAATGATATTCAATGGTGCGTATTGCCCTCAATCTATCATTTAATTTCACGCTAACACTTGCCTAGCCTAACCCTTCCACCTATGGACAAGAAGAGCCGCAAGACTGTCCACCATATTGCGATGGCATTCAACCTAAGATCGAAGTCGTTTGGTTCGGGTAAGACCCGTTTTCCAACTTTGACCAAAACCTCCGACCCGGCCATCTACAAGGAGGACAGTGCGAGGGTTGCTCAAATTATGGACGCCGGGGGGTTTCTTTCCCATCCTGGCATTGGTGGTGGACGGAGGGGAGGAGGGAAGAGGGGCGGTGGGCGTGGCGGTGGTAGCGCTGGGCGTGCTCGTGGAGCGGAGGGTGTTGTCCGCCACAGAGAGGGCGACATCGTTGGCGCAGGGGCCGCAGAACTTGGTGAAGATAACCGTGGCCGGATAATGCTCGAGAAGATGGGATACAAAGCGGGCATGGCTCTGGGCGCTACTAATAATAAGGGAATCGTTGTTCCGCTCGCTGCCGTTGTTAAGGTGGGGAAGGCCGGTCTTGGTTAAGTCCTGATAGTGTGTTGCTAGAGGCGTAGTATTTGTTTCCTTTCTATCTTGATACCCCCTACGGTTTCAATTGGCAGATCCCAACTTTCACGTTTCTGGGCTTTCTACGGGATCTATCTTGCTCTGGCTATCGGAAATCCACTGAAGATTAGGCTTGTCTTGGGTATTCAGAGTGATGAAACCAAAAGTATTTCCTTTGTGAGTATTTGGAATTCGGGCAGTTAGAATTGCAGATGGCGGAATTTGTACTGTACAGTTCGGTGAGATATTTGATCATTGGTTGTGCATTTTACGCCAAAAATGTTGTTTTTCCTAGCTTTATCACACAACCAGAAGTTATCCGAGTAGGGCTATTTTTCGCGCACTAAAGTACCTGTATATCATACTTTAACAAACATTGAGAATTGAGAAGAGAAAAAAATACTTGGGTTTAGCAGCAAGTGTGAACTTCTGAACCGGGAAATTCTCGAAATAATCATCTCGAATGAGCTGCTGTACAAATTTTGGCCGCTTAAACTACGTTTTCAAGCTCTTCTACACAATAGGCCCCATAGCGGGAGATTCCCATGTCAGTCAGGAGTATTGGCGGTGGAGTACAGATCACTAGATTCTCAGCTATTTAAAGATACACTCTGGCGGGAATCCAGGATGGGGTTGATATAATGGGCACGAATTTCTCACGTTCATTCTTTTTCCCCCCTATTTAGTGTGTCTGCTATGCTGCGATGAGGTACTAGTATTCCCTTGTCTCATGGATAGATAGGTGTTCAGGCATGTAGATGTGGGCTACCCTATTGGCAAAAGTGGACGACCCATTTCTGCCAGAGGGGTAAGGGGTGACTGCATTGTGGGGTTGTGGAAATGCACTCGCTAGACATGGAATGTAAATGGGTGGAGGAGGGTAGCTGAGATGTTATTGGAGGTTCAATTTTCTTGAATGTTGGGGAGAGTATCATAGAATTTACGAACCATTACTACAGCTTGCTATATTTTGTGTGCTACACCTCTGTCGACTGTGCGGTGCGAACGCACGCCTGTCTGGCTGGTGTTCTAGTAATGTGGTGCGTTGCAGTGGCTCATACTACTGATACCGTGCAGAAAATTGGGGGGATTTCTTAGGGTAGGGGGCCCCACAAAATTTTACACAGAGCAACAGGTTTTTTTTCCCGTAAGAGTTTATGTTGGGTAAAGTGCTGATTAGTTAGGTTTCCTTGCAACAGGTGGATTTTAGATATCATAGCCGGCCCACAGAGATTGGGGGATGATTGGACAAAAGACTTAAGGAGGAGGTTAGGGTGGCATGTGAGGGGAGGATTGTGGGGGGGGGGGGGGGGTGCTACTAAGGAAGAGTTAAGTTGGCCCACGATATTCTCATCCGCGATGCCGGGGGTTAATTGTGTATTCAAGATGTACCGTGCTTGGGTTTGGATAATACAACTCCTTCCCCAAGAACACTAGCTAGATCATCCAAGCCTATGCATTTGGCAAATACCATATTTCCTAGCAATTAGGATCTAGATACGACAGATAGCTTTTTTAGGACCTACTAGTCTACCAGTTTACACACACTCGCCCTAACCACCGATAACCCACATGTATCAAAAAAAGTTTCACGGGGGGGTTTTCAGCTAAATCCTTCCTCAGATTTGAAAGTGTCCGGAGAGGAGACGATGGCGGGCGGACCAATGAAGGCAGAGGAGCAACTAGGGTCTCAATTTTGTACGATATCGGGCTCTTATTGCCCTTCCACCCCCACTCCTCCGCCCTCACCACTCCTGGGGCACGTTGGTTACCATATTATTAGTTTTTCTCAAAGAGGAATTACCGTCCTCGGGGGGAATCAAACATGGACGGGAAGTCCGACACGCCGGAACCACAACGTTAACCAGTTGGGCCATGATTCCGGCAACAAGTATTCCCTTTATAATCGTCTCTTATTCCCAGGATAACTGGGAAAAATTGCTCGCGGTGTAGGGATTTTTGCGGTAGAGATCGAGTTGTCTTCTGGCCGGTCAGGGGATTTCGCTCACCCGGGAATTTGGGAATTATATCACTGGCACAGCGCTGACTGCAATTACGGTGGTGCTGCCTTGGGTATCCCTCAATGCTGAGTTTGCCTCTAACGCCGGGTCGATCGCAAAAACTGCCATGCGTCAGAAGACAGCTGCCGAGTAGGTTAAGTGATTGTGGAAATCTTCGAAAGAGGATTACGGGGTTTTTTTTTTAAGACTATTTGGGTATCGTATCAAGGGCACCCCAATGCGTCTCTCTTCAGTTGCCCGGGCTGTCTTCCAGAGAACGGTTTAATCCACAGGCTGCACATGTTGCTGCTATATGACCCCAGCCAGAGAGCCTACTACTCCCCCTCCCTTTCATATATAATAGGTATAATAACAGCTGGTTAACCAAATTTTCTGTAACGTGAAATGGCCGGTATCTATGATAGTTGTATCGTATCATATCCTATGCTATCATATGTAAACTTACTTTTTAAACCCTGCTCCCTCCCGAGTGACACAACATGATTTCTGCAACTGCACTGCCACGCCCCCAAACAATCCCAAACAAACACATATCATACCATACACGAACACAATTCGCTAAATCTCAAACTGTTTTACCCCCCTTCTCCTTTCTTTGCAAATACCCGTATCATAGTATAATAATAATATTATTATAGATTTGGGCTCCATTCCCCCACGTTCCCAAATAAATAAGCCCACCCGGGCCCATACGAGAGTGACCAACACTATCCTATAGAGGAAGAAGTCCAAAATGTTCACCGGAATCGGAACCGGAAAAGCAGCGAAATATCATAGTACCAATGTTCCGAGCCCGGTTATATGACCCGTCCATTCTCGAAATTTAGTGTGGGGTGGGAAAGCCTGAATCACCATTCACTCGGTCACAAGCTAGGAAGTGTGGCCGAGGAGACGCTGCCATGTTTAATATTCGCCTGCAAAAAAAAAAAAAAAAAAAGGGCCATTTTCACGGGTCAAAAATCAGGTCTATTGGGCAGGTATTCATGGTTAAAGGGAAAAAAACGCCTCCTGATTCCAACAGACCCCACAAACCTCGTAATGCGATATTTACCTCAACCAAGCACTAGACCCAGACCATTTTGAATATAGAAGAAAGTGCAATTCCTCGAGCACGTTTTGATCTTCTTGAACGGGAATTCCGGGATTCGGTACTGGCGTCCCATTCTTTGTAGCGCCTACAGGACCACACAAGACAGCATACAACGGGCTATGCATCCCGATCGACAATTCGAACCCCTGATGCGGAGTCACAATAGGCAAGTTGGGTCTGGAAGACCATAGAGAGGTAGCCGACGGCACAGTGGATACTGGTAGTACTATAATAGTACATCCACTAAACTTCTGCGCCCACACGGGACTCGGAACTCTGGCTTTTTAGCTTGCTGGAGAGGGGCATGGACTCGAATACCTATACAAGACCGTCTCCTGTTCAAGCTGCCTTTAAAGATAATTAAGCAGGAATGCAGCACCCAAGAGCATTATTCGATACCTGGAAGAACATGCGTTTCTCGAGGGGTCTCGTGAGGATACATTTCTATCCCGGACTCCCACCTCAACCCCCGCCCCGGCAGTTCCCTGATCCTTGAAGAAGAAAAAAAGAAAAAAAAAAGACTTTCCTTTCCCTTTCCTCTTCTTCCTCGCAAAGTGGCGTTCGGAAGACACCTCCGCGATGTCATTTCAAGCCAGGGGGGTCGAAACGTTGCATGTAAGCCATGAAGTTCCCGGGTTTCCAGGTTATCACTTTATCCCTACAATAGTATTGTGATTGTGCACGTGTTGGCTATCGCGGCTGCTTGTGGTTTCATTGATCTTTGTCGGAGAAGCCCTGACCTTCAATACCTCCTCACCAAGCTCAATCTCCATTGATCAGGTAGTGTAGTATGATATAAAGGTCACACATATTAGTTAGAGGCTCAGCAGGGTTAGAAGAAGATAAAACGAGAGTTTTTTGTCATTACTTTTTCATTCGGAGGATCCCACTCTTGTACCATACCACAGAATACTCAGTGCTCGTAAGGCCTCACTCGGGACCTCGAGCCCCCGCGTTTGCTCCCGCAGGCGTCAGTAACCCCACCAGGATCCCACCTGACCGCAGCGCTCTTGCTCATTTAGATGTTTTGCGTGCAAATTTTTCTGTCCCACTTGCTTGGGTTCCGCCCTCCTATCGGGGATTGCCGCGTGTTTGGCAGGTGGTGGCGTTCCCAGCAGACAAGCAATGAAGGGTAATGTTCGATTGTGGGAATAATGGCATAAGGACAACTAACTACCTTATCAGATGATCCGGAAATACTTTTTCGATTCCTTCAAGGGTATCATAGTACGGTAGTGCAGGGCTTAGTACTAGTACCGGTACTGTACAGTACAGTACAGTACAGTGATGTAAAAAAAATCACCTGAAATGTGATCAGATCGACCCAATCAACCCACTTGATCAGATTCCTCTCTTGGTATCATACTGCCACAACATTCCCCCTTGGCAACAGCGAAACATCCCTTGCAAGGAGGGGAAGGGAGTAGGGATGAGCCCAGAAAAGGAAGCAATATCATACCTCTGAATCGCTTCCACCTTCCTCGAGGTCTCGAAGGCCTATGCCAATGTGTAAGTTTTTCAGTTGAATCGCAGAAACCAACATCAACCTTACTTAACTAGCTTACGATAACTCAGCGTCACGAGGATTGCCGGGGCGGGGGTTCAAGATTGAGTTCAAACCACTACTGAAGTATGGCTGAATATGTGGACTGCAGGGGAGCCAGGTCTTGGACATGAACATCTTCTATATACATAATTCCATTAAGGTCATAAATAGACATCTTTTCTACACTATATTCAAAAATCCAATATAATCTTTATAGTATACCAATAAAAGGGCAGTAATTCTCCTTTTTCCAAAACAAAGGCCTTTAAATCCTGAGGTAAAGCATAAAGCTATGTAAGGTATATACTAATTATCTCACTTTAGTGTATTGTAAAAAGCTCACTTCCAAATTTTGTAGTATGGTAAAAGGCCATTTGGAGTGCTAGCTAGCAATAATATTATCTAATTCTTAGCTATATAGTATGATACTTTTACTGATCTAATAGCTTTCATTTATTTTTAGTAAGCAAGAGGTAGAGAGGGTAATAGGATAAATTCTATTTTCTTACATACTTGGCTTGGCATTTATAAAGAAGGCCTATATAAAGAGGTCCATCACCTCTTCCTCCTTCTCTTCTTTTCTTATCAACTTCTCTTACTTTTCTTTCCCTCATATAT